AATTACACATTATCTTTAACCAATTATAATTCAAAAACTATTGTAGCCTCAACATTTTTGTATTAAGATTTTCGTCTCAAAATTACCTCAAAAATACGTTCTTAAGAGGAAAGTGCAGTAGTTGTGAGACACCCTGTATATATATTGTCATAAAAACTCTCCAAATCATCATTTTTAACGTCTTTGGTTATAATTTTCCCAAAAAATTGTGACGTAATAATAGTTAAATTTGTCCAATAGATTTCTATTCGACAAACAAAAATACATCGAAAATGACTATTCATACCGGTATTGCAAAAAAAATGTCATATTTTGTCAGTGTTATTACAGGATGATGCGCCATTAAAAGAAAATAACACAAAACAAAATAAAAAAATTACAAAAGCTACTTAAAATAAAGAATACTATTAAATACGTACCTTAGAATCAAAATTGGTAAAGTCGGCGAATCCGGAAGATGTAAAACTATTATTGTTATCGATTGTTTGTTGAGCGCTAAATGGATCTGAATTTGCATTCGCAAATGGATCTGGAGTTGGTGAAGGCGTTGGAGGTGCAGGTGCTGCTCTCAATGGCCCAGTAGGACCTTGACTCGGTCGAGGTGGAGCTGGACGTGGCGGTGGTTGCTTCGCTTTCTTTGGCGGAAGAGCGGGACTAGGGCTCTCGGGACGAGGAGGAGCATGAAGATTGGCAAATGGATCTTCTCCAAACGGATCTTTTGCATTCTTAACAGAAAACCATCATTCTCATCAGCATTTTATTTAACGTTTCAATAAAGCATAAAATATATTAAGCATAATAAAATATCCATATTCTTTAAACTAATAATTATTACTTTTCTACGCTATTCTTCAACTTCATTACTATTAGCCATTGTCATCGATTAAAAATTAAAAATATGAACTGAGAAGTATTGAGAACAAGATTGCTTCATTCAAATATGTTAATATGGAGATTTGACCAAAAACGTTTACAAATAAAATTTTACATACCAATGTAATTGTAGACGTTTTATTCTCAGCTCGTTTTCCATTATCAAATGGATCAAAAGGATCTTGCTTTACCACCATATTGGTATTATCAAACGCAGTAAAAGGATCTGCTGTAAAATTCTATGGAATGGTTTTTTTTGTTATCTAGTGACTATGCTTACAGAATAAAAGATTAAAATATGAATAAATATCATCCATAAATTACATTGTTGTAGTCAAATATTAAAGTCCGGCATTTTCTAGGTGCATTATGTTTCACGCATGATACGCATGATACATTATTTATTCTTGTTATTCAACAAATATCGAACAAAGATGAAGGATGCATTATGCGCATCATGTAAGAACCGGAATGCAATCCTTCTGCCAGCTTCACTTTGCTCTATCGTTTTTGTTGTTACATTATACTTCTACTACTTCATGTTTGTATAACCACACATAACCATGTCTTCTATTCTATTTGTCTGTCTACGTATTGTTGCATGGATATATTTGTAAAATAATAAAAGAATATCACAAGAGAAAATGTAAAAGGCAGGAGAGCAAAGAGTGAAAGATACGTGGACATAATCGTAGAAAAAAACTTACATTAGATTGTTGCGCAGAAAACGCGCTTCCAAACGGATCGGATATCGGTGCGCTAAATGTTTCTTTGGCTTTATTCAATGCAAAAGGATCTTGATCTCCAAATCCGTTTAAAGTGCTAGTCCCAGTTGTATCTGTTTTCATTTCATTCGCTTCACCTGCACTCTTAGTTGTTTCATATCTAGAGATATAAAATTACCGTCAAATTCAATTTAACAATTACTTACGGTAAAATGGTAATTTATTAGTAATTTTGATAAAATTTATTGTTTTTTTTTTTAGTTTTATGCACAAATAGGTTTTATTTATGTTTTTTACATTAATGTATAATATAAAACAATATTCTTCTAACATTCTCATCGAAAAGTATAAATCGCTGATAGAATAATAATAGGACTGTTCACTAAATCTAAACGTAAAATCTAATCGGTGCTAAAATCCGTTTTCAATATATGGTTCCCTAGAGATTTAATAGTGACCAAAAAATAGAAAGCGATGCAGATAAAAAATTCCAGTATTTTTTTACATAATATCTTGTTTTATATTTTGAAATCTAGCTTTTTATTGAATTATTTAATTATTCTATATTTCTATTTAGATATTCCGGCAGTAGTGCAGTTACAGAAATATTTTATTTTTTATGTATAATTGTTTTTATTTTTACTTTAATAAAAACTTTAACGGTCTAGTCGCTAAAATAGCAAGCAAATAAATGGAAATTTTATAAGTTTAATTGAAAAGTAAAAAATATAAAAATACAAAGATTAAAATATGTACAAAATAGCTTAAAATTACTGTACTGTTATATTTTTTCAGAATCCTAATAAAAAAATTTATTTGAAGTTTCTTTAGTTTAGACTATATACCGAGTTTTTTAATTGTCATATATAATAGTCAATAATATAATGATTAAAAGGAATAATATTACATATTGATATACAATATATTATACTGTATACCAATATGTAATATCAAAATGAAAATATAAGTTAAATGAAGCATTTTGAATTTAATAACTAAAGGCTAAATTTACATCAAATTATTTTAGTTTTATTATTTTAAATTACCATTTTACCAGCCTCCAAAAATTACTGACTAATTTACCGTAATTTACCGAATAAATTATCGTAAAATTTAGTCATTTTAATCTCTATTCATATGTATTTTTTTTTACACATATACAAAAATGTCATTATAATTCTGATGAGAAAGATTTGTTTTAAATAAAATATAATACGCACTCTATATCTTCAATCTCGGGTACAAACTGCAGACTAGTATCAGGTACAAGATTGACGTCTCCTGCAGCGAGCGCAGAATCATAAAGTGCAATTGCATCACTCATCTGACGTTGTTGTTCTTGTAAATGAGTAATTTTAGCCTTCGCTTGACAGATTTCTAACTGAGTATCTTGCAATTTCTTCGTCAACTCATTTAGCTGGTCCCTATTTTTATTCTGTTGCTGTTCTAATTGCTGCTCCTCTTGTCGCAGTCCTTCGAGTTCTTGTCTTTTGAAGTTCAACTCTTCTTCTTGACTCCGCAACACCGATTCTTGTTCTTCAGCTTGTTGGCGAAGTTTATCGACCTTAAAAAAATATAATAGATTTATATAAAGAATTCAATTTGCTTGTTGTAGACTTCAAGTAAAAATAATAAAACTTGCATATTAGCAACTAATATGCTTGTATCTGCTATTATGTTTGTATAATTGATAGAGTTAAAACGTGAGAAGATGTAGGATTTAATTAGAGATGTGCAAACAATTTTGCGATATATCGCAAGTATTGGCCTGTAAGAAATTAGCACCCTACTTTTGGAATTAACTTATTTTGAAAATTGTGTTGAATTGTGCTAGGTTTGTGCTACATTAATACCCGAATATTAAAGTTAAAATATGAAAAATACGTAAAAAATAAAAAAAAAAACGATTTTTTAGGCCAGCCCTCATTTTGCGATTTTTTTCAATTTTCATGATTGTGCTAGGTTGTGCTAAATTATGCTAATACTGTACCAAAGTACTTTTAAATAATGACAACAATAGAAGTTATAATAAAAAAAGAATTTTGACAGTTTGGAATAAAAATGAAGCTTACATGTGTATCAGTTATTCAAATACCAAAAAATTGCGTATCTGAGTTGTGCTAGCCTAGCACAAATCAGCACAACCTTCAAAATCTTCGGCACAACGATATCAAGAACACTTTGCTCTTGCGCGCGGATCTTGGCGCTCGGCTTTTTTGTCCATAATACAGCTTTATAACTTGTAGTTCTTCGACGTCGACAATATTGTATATCTGAGTTGTACTAGTCCAGCACATGATAGCACAATGATATTAAGAGCACTTTAATTGAATTGACCATCAATTTTTAATAATAATAACTAGTAAAAATGTTTGTGTTATTCACTTATCGATCCATGTCCTCACCTATTATAATTCATATTATTCCCTTCTCATCAGATAATTACAATCCGAATTATGGATAAAGAATCCGAGCGCTAAAGGCCGCGCGTAAGAGCAAAGTTCTATTAATATTATAACTTAAAAATATATAGGCTCTAAGGATAAATCAGCTAAAGGGGGATACAAAAGCCAATTAACCCTTCGAAGCATACATTTTTCTTTACGTAGAATTCAGTTAAAATTTGTTACTCGGGGGTTTTCGGGGTCGCTGATTACGAATCTGACCTCAGATTTTCAAAATTCAAAATGACGGATCCAAGATGGCGGACAAAAAATTAAAAAAATTAGTTCTGGGACTGTAAAATGGGGTCAAGTAGGTTTTTTGGGTCACTCATTACGAATTTGAAGTCAAAATTTTTTAACTTTTTGTCTGCCATCTTGGATCTGCCATTTTGAATTTCGAAAATCAGGTCAGATTCGTAATCAGCGATCCCGAAAACCCCCGAGTACCCAGTTCGTCCCGATCAAGTAACTTTTTTGCTTTTCGATCCGCTTCAAAGGGTCCGCCATATTGGATCTGCTATTTTGAATTTTTAAATTTTGATTTCAGATTCGTAATCGGCGACCCAAAGACCTCTCGGACTTCATTTTCGGTTAATTAGCTATTATTGATTAGTCACAATCACATTTATTGTTAAAAAGTAATGAATTTTTCCAGTTTGTTTATTTATTAAATACATTTCGGAAACAATAGGAATGTTTCCACGGTTTTTTTTATAACAACTGATGTTCTACAAAACCGATAATGTTCTTTTCATTGTAGTAATGTGTTAAAAATTGTGTGAAAAACATAAAAAAACTGAGGTTAAAAAGATGTAACATAGGGGTAACATATGTGTGATACTGTACCGCAAAGGGTTAAGAGCCTACGCAGTTGTTGGTACGCAAATACGGATTAATTTGATGAGTAAATAAATAATTTTGCGCACCACAACAACCGCGTAGGTTCTTAATTGGCTTATTTGTCGCCCTTAATATTATACTGTTGTGCCCAAGATTTTGAAGGTTGTGCTGATTTGTGCTAGGCTGGCACAACTCAGATATGCAATTTTATGGTATTTGAATAACTGATACGTATGTAAGCGTCATTTTTATTTCGAATTGTTAAAAATTATTTTTTTATCGTAACTTCTATTATTTAAATTTTTATTTTAAAGGTCCCACTTTGACACAACATAAGCACACCTTAGCACAACTTAGCACAATCATAAAAACTGACAAAATTGCAAAGTGGGGGGTTGGCAAAAAATCGTTTTTTTTTATTTTCTAACGTATTTTTCATATTTTAACTTTAATATTCGGGCACAATGTAGCACAAACCTAGTACAATTCAGCATAATTCTCAAAATAAGTTATTTCCAAAAGTACTTGTTCTTTAATTCTTTTAAAACCATGTAAACAAGTGACTAATGCCTAATTAGAAAAAGGATATATTCTTCTATTTCGTGAAGGATTTTTTCTTTGAAAACAAATTTCGAATATTGTTAGAGATTTTTTACTATTACATTGAAAAATAAACGCTAAAAACTAAAGATTTTTACCAAAGACTTTTGGTGCGACAAAAATGGGCAGTTGAACAAATGTATGAGCGGGAGCAGTGTATAAAGCACAGAGTGCATAACGTATAATGCATAATGCATAAGAAAATGGACCAATCAAAATCCTTCGTTCCTTCCTTTCCAAGAAATAAATTCTTATTAGTTAATTTTCTTATGCTTTATACATTATGCGTTGTACAAAAGTCTGTGTTCCCATCTTGTAATATACTATAAAAACCGCGATGCAATATATCATATTTATCGATTTATCACTGTGATTTTTAAGGAAGATCGCAATGTACAATTTTGAAAATCGCACATCCCTAGATTTAATTTTATTAATTTAATATTATATTTAATTGTGCTATTGTATAGTTATTTTGTATCACTGAAAAAATTTTCTAAATCTAAATAATATTCATTTCTTGAATAGTTCCAAGTAATAGTTCCAAGCTACTTGTAACAAGTAATATATATTTACTAAATAAAAATAATTTCATAATAGCATAATAATAATAAACAATAAATAACAAGAAGGGACTACAAATCAGATTTATATGTATTTCAATTTCTTAGAACATACGTTTCGATCTTATTATTAGGTCATCCTCAGTGTAAAAAAATTAAACGCAAATTTGACAAAATTAAAACGGTTAAAATTATACAATTTATAGTTACGCAAAAAGTTGGTAGTATTTAATTCTATTTATCTTCCGCACAATACATGTCAGGAGTGCTTATCCATGCATCGGAATAGCGTAACGAGAGAACATATAGCATATAAATATAACGCGGAACGAGAGCAGAACCAATCACAAGCGTTCCGTGCCAATTGCAATTGATGCAATTGATGTATAATTTTAACCGTTTTATTAATTTTGTCAAATTTGCGTTTAATTTCTTTACATTGAGTATGACCTAATAATAAGGTCGAAACGGGGGTGATCCCGATTGACCACGGCTCGATTGGACACCACCAATCACAGCGACCGGTGCTTAGGAGCTTTGTAGTTTCAAGCGCTGTGAGTGGCTCGTGTCCAATTGAGCCGTGTCCAACTGGGTGCCACCCGTCGAAACGTATGCTCTAAGAATTTGAAATACATAAAAATCTGTCTTGTTATTTATTATATATATTTACATTTAACAAATATTTACTTGCAGTTAAGAAAAGTTTACTTGGAACTATTCAAGAAACAAATTACTTAGATTCAGAAAATGTTTTTTTCAGTATATATCACAAAAAAGAATGTAACAAATTATGCATGCCAGCAAAGCATCAATAATGCGTTATCATACACGTTTTGAACAACTGCAGAATTTGACTTGCATACACAGAAAAAAAACTATTCTTAAATCAACCATATTATATTCATCTATAAGCAAAAATATTCTAATCTTACTTCAAAGATATCAATCTTGATTCGATTAAATTTGTTTTGATGGAGGTATTACTTTGCACTTCATTCAAGACTTGCTCAATTAAAAATTTTATATCAATACAAATAAATCTTATATCAAGACTAAAATTTTTAAAGCAAGATTACAATATTTTTGCTTATATATGAATATATTATGGTTGATTTAAGAATAGTCTTTTTTTCTGTGTATATAATAGATATTAGGTTTTGTTTACTTTAGTATAAAAATGTATTTTTGAGAGAGAAAGATATATATTTATCTATCTCAGAGATGATATTAGCAATATCGTACACACACGTACGTACGTACGCGAATATATATAGTGTGTTCTATTTTAAACAGTCCAGCCGAATATCTCGAAAATTAAATTCGGCATACAAAAATGTTTCAGATAAAAATTGTATCATTTGGAGAGAGATAAATAATAGTAAAATAAATTTTTTTTTTTTAAATCGATTCTTCAAGGTCACATAAAAATTATCGCAATTTTTTAAATAGATATATATAATTTTTGTATATATCTGCTTATTCTGCTTATTCTATATAAAAGTATTAAAATTATATATATCGAAAAATAAATAGTCTATTTTATAATATACTTTATAATTTATTCTGGCGTATTTTGACATAAAATATAAAATATTTCATAAACTATTAATTTTTTAATAACTCTTTAATACTTTTATTTGCAAAATAACTAGAAGTATAGTATTATGTAAAAAAAATCATATAACTCCATTCAAAAAACGATAATGACTCAGACAAAAAGATCGATATTTTTTGAGCATTGATTTTATTCGTTCCCTGCAGACAATACATTTTGTTTAAAACATTTTTGCCTGCTGGATTCAATTTAGTCCGCCATTCTAATATGTAAGTAAGTACGTACTTACACGTGCATGTATATACATACACACCGTGGAAAAATAACAAAATATTTCGTAAAAAAAAAGAAATTTATTTCCTAGCGCGACAGATATGTATCAATTTTCATTGTATAAAGATAAAGATCCACTTTAAGCAATATTGTCATCATATACCTTCTTCTGTTCCTTTTGAATCTTCTCTTCGACCTCACTCAAATCTCTATCTACTTCAGTCTTCTATAAGCCAAACATAATAAAACAAAATCATAAAGAAAAACATAAAAACATAACTAAATGAATAATAAATCATATCTTTTTCCATTTCTTTTCTCTCGTTCTCTCTCTTTTGTAATTTATTTTTAATAATTAATAATGTGTTAAAATAAACGTCAGTAAATACTACAATTAATTCTTATTTATGTATAAAACGAATTTTATTTATGTATTAAATGAATAAGTACACTTCAAATTCACAAAATAATATATGAATAAAATATAATAACTAAAAATATAGCAAAAGAGAATGGATTACGACAAATATAATCACTATTTATTTTTTATTATTATTGTATCTGATTTCTTTGTATTATTCATATGTAACGAAAAGTATCCGTAAACTCAAAATACGCAATATGGCATATATTTATTATTACTTTATTACGCTTATTAAATATTATTTAAAATATTAATTTTATTTTACAAGGGCAATGTATAAACGACAACTATATATGTGTACCGCATATAGTTGTGCCTAAAAAGCAGTGCCGCGTACATTCAATAAGCAAGCCGATATATTATCGAATTTCCATTTACCTGGGCTTTTAAGTCGTTCAATCTCTTCTGCGCCTCACCCTTCTGATTTCCAAGTTGCTTCAATGTTGCCGCAAGCGTATCCAATTCGCTTTGAAGACTTTTGATTTCTCCATTCTTTATCTTAATATCGGCTTCCTTTTGCGCAATATCCTGTTCCATACTTTGTCTTTCACGTACAAGTTCCGCTATGTCTTTACTTATCATATTCAACTCTGGATTCGAGTAGCCTGATATGTTATTGTTTTCCTGTAATAGAAGCGTATTCAAAATGTTAATATCTGATTATTGTTATGATATTTCCTATCATACAAAGAAATAGTATTTTTATTTCAGCTTAAAATTCATTTGTGTATTATGTATATTGAAAAAGAAAGATGATACAAATTATACTTTACATCTAAAAAAATTTTCATATCACATATATTTTTAAGAATTTTTCATTTTTTAAATTTGTGAAGATTTTTTAAAAATATCTTAAATTTTTGCTTTTATAGGTTTTCTTTAGAAATTATAAAATAAATTATTAATAAAAATCTTAGAATATATATACTTTAGAATTCACATATATACAAAGAATTCTAGAAAACGTGTAGATATTCTCAACGAAATGTTGAAAAATGTTCCGTTTCGTATACAAAAATTTGAAAAATTTTCTAAAAAGTTATGATGAAATTATACAGAATTCTGAAATTTATAAATTCTGAAGAATTATATGAAAAAGTATATCAGAATTTTCGCTAATTAAAAATCTTAATTAACGATACAATTCAAATTATAATTTTTATATAAAGAATAAAATGTTAATTACATAATTCTAGTGTAGATGGATCTCTATACAATATAGCGAATTTTGGGGTGCATTCCGTTTCACGCATGATGCATCATTTATCCTTGTTGTTCACCGAATGCTAAACAAGGATAAATGATGCATTATGCACATCATACGTGAAACGAAATGCACCCTTGATGTATCTCCAATAAATTTCTTAAATGTGCATGTACCAAGTTCAAGATGTTTTATAAGATGTATGTATTAAAGATTAAATATATATATATATACATACACATATATATATATATATATAATTTTGACAAAGAACGCCTATATATACAGGGTGTCTCAGAAAATGTGACCGAAACACAGTGGGGACATAGATTGGATCAAGGGGAACAAAACAGTTTTGTACCATTTTGCAATTGACGCAATATTTAACGAGATATTAACGTTTAAAGATAGGCGAATACGAGCGTCCGACCAGCCTACTGATCATGTACTGCTGCCGGCAGGACGGCCTACCGGGTAGGCCGCCATTTTGAAAAAACTACAAAAAAGCGAATTTTTTGCAGTTTTTTAAAGTTCTGAGAATTTTTTCAGGATTTTTTATCAACTTTTTAGTACTACATTTTTTTATTTTTACCAACATGAGAAATACAGTACTTATTAAAAAATTCTGAAAAAATTTTGAAAAAATTCTCAGAACTTTATGAGAAGAAAATAAATAATTTTTGTCTCTTGCAGTTTTTCTGTAAAGTTGATAGTATTTGAGTAAAAAATTATTCAAGATCAATATTTTGCAATTTTTAGTAATTAATATCTTGTTAACTATTGCGAAAATTGCAAAATGGTAGAGAACTTTTCGACTCAGTTTAATCCGCTCTATCTACACGAAAGTGATTGGCAAAAAAGGTCGGGACACCCTGTATATATACATATACGTATATGTATGTATATACATATAATATAAACATATAAAATTGCTGTCACAAAGTTTGAGTTTTGTTAATTCTTGTATATATTGCTCGCATTTTTTGTGTTTAATTCTTCCAAGATTGTGCTATTTGGCAAGGGTTATGGTATTTAATTGTTCTAATGCTCAATTTCTTCACCTCTAGATAACTTTATCCGAAAGATATCTCCCAGAATACAATGGAGATATCTCCTGGATAAGGTTGTCCGCAACTTATCTGGAAGTGAAGAAATCGGGTATTAGTCTTGATTTTTAGATCTTATTTTCGTTCGTGTAGAGTTTCATTCATACGCAAGTGTTTTATAAACATTCTGCTGAACGCAGCTATTATATTAGCATATAAAAAAAATGACAGGACATTACACTGGCATTTCATTTCATTATATTGCGATACTTCATGACGCTATACAGAATGATAATGATGAAAACATGTATAATGCCAATTTTAATCTATTATTTCAACAATGTATCTTTAGCTTTACTACGAGCAAATTTATTAACTAAGCATGAAGAATTACCAAAAAAAATTAATAAAATGCTTAATGGTAAGCATGGTACGTAAATGTTTTAATTACATGTGAATGATTAGATATACAGATGTCAATCTATCTATAGTGTGTGTGTGTGTGTGTGTGCGCGTGCGCGCGCGTATACATACATAAGTATTTGTTATTGTAATAACAAGGTGATGAAGTTCTTTTAAATGTCAATGAATATGAATATCCGAAAACTAACAAGACCTTAAGACAGCTACACAAACAACAATGGCTAAATTATTACAAGTGTCTGAAAGAAATATACGCAGATATAAAGCAAGACAGAATTACTTATCCAAGTGCACTCATAGCGCTCGAGGGAGCATCCGTAACGTACGATTAAGAAAATTATCATAAAAATTTACCATGAACAATTACGATAAAACTTTAACAAATTGATTTACAGTTTAGAATGTCAAATCTGCATCTCGCCACTGGAAATGTATACGACTTCTCTAATAGAATGGTACTTTAACAGCAGCAGCAGCAGCAGTAGCAGTAGCAGTAAAAGCAGTAAAGTTAAAAATACGCTACACAATGGGAATCACATTGTCAATTCACCAGATAACCGATATATCATCATGTACAATGTTAAGGTGTAAATTCAGGAAGTATGGCGTATGTGATACACAACTGCAAAAGATAACTCGGAAAAATATTTTTTTATACATAAATTATACACATATTACTAAAAAATTAAATTTTTTCAATATTAATGGGAAATGTAAATAATTATAAAGTAATTGAAAGGCTGAAACATGTAAGAATTTTAATTGATTATAGATTATAATATTTATTATGCAATATATTCTTTTATTGTTCTCAACATAAAAACTGGTAATTTAGATTCTTATATTTCTTATATACCCTTTATTATATTTATTGTTTACGAATTAATAATAATTAATGATTCTTAGTTAGAGCAAGCTGGATCTTATTGGTGTGAAGTAGGACATACTGTAGGATCAATTTATTATTTACATGTCGATAGTAATATGGAAACGGTTAATGTATATCCGGATAGAGCGTCTTATATATTGCAAGCAACATTGATGAAAAATGTGTCGGAATACAAGTTGAAAGTTTATACCACTTGGACAACGTGGAGTTCTTGCTCCACATGCGATGCAGTCGGGATAAAGCTGCGATACGGTTATTGCACCGTTTCCCTTTTAGAAATGTCAGATCACAAATCTTTTATTAACAAACGTGTATCGATAATGAATAAACTACAACATATGAAACGAGATATAAAGAAAGGTAAAAATAAATAAAAACAAGATATTTTTTTATTCTTTCTCGCCAAGATTCTTACTAAATTTTAAGTTACTTAAAGAATGGAATCAAACGCAAAACGACACAATGCAAATAGAAGCGATAAATACAACTTTGGAAGTTCAATTAAAAACGGCGTTAATGCTATTTAAGAACAAATTACCGTGCAAATCGAGATTTCTTCCAGAACAAGTGCGACTAATTCCTGCTATCAAAAATAAAAAAATTGAAATTATGAAGCAATATTGTAAGGTATGCATATCAAACAATACTTAAGACTTCTCGTTACAATCACGTAAAATTAGGATATTAAAGGAAAAAATGATGAATCTTTTCTTCCTTTTACTATATCGATTGATTTTTTACAAAATGTTATTCATTTTTATTTAAATTAACAGGTTTATTTTTAATTAAATTGTTATTACCTAATGCTATTAAGTTAAATTTAGCTTAACAGCATTAGGTAACAATAATCTAATTGAAAATAACATTAATATGCAAAGGAACTATTATTTTTATACAAAAGAAAATATCTATTTGGTGCACTTCATAATTATTATTGCAATAATAGAGTATAAATTTTAATGAAAATCGAAACAAATACTCTTGCAACAGAAAAAATGTCGAAAAGATATCATATTTGAGGTGCGCGATAAAAAGGGTAATATTCTGGAAAGTGCAAACAATAGTGCAGGTATATTTTCTATGATTCAAGAAATGCCTGAGCCATTACCATCAATTGCACGTATTGTTGTTTATGAAAAACATAATAAAAATATCAAACTTGTCTGTCCAGGGTAAAATTTAAAACATAAGTTCTAATCGCTTCATTAATAATGACAAATATAAAAAATGATTTAAAATTTACTTTAGAAATTTGAATGCAGATGTTCCGATTGTTTGGCGAATCGATGATAAAACGATTATTCCATCTCACATTAAATCCCAATCAAATGGAAGAATTCATATTAATCCTCAGATGCAAATACTATTTGAACCTTTAAAGTTTGAGGATACTAATATATACAGGTAAATTAAATTCATTAACGAGAACATATAACAATCTAAAAACTTGTTTCATTAATAGTTGTTGGCAAAATAATGAAATTGCTGGAATAATAAAGCTAATTGTAATTGGAGAAATAGAATTCAAGTTGAATCATCATGTTATTTTAATGGGCGCTATCGTCGTAATTAGTGTCATTTTCATAATGTTTTGGAAAGCATTCAAGGAACGAATGCGATATACGATGCATTAATAAACACTATAAACGCTATTTTATAAATGCTGATGTATAGATTAAACTGTTCATTGACAATTTGTGAAATGATGTGTTTATGTTGTGCATGAAGAAGAGAAGGAAGGCGATGAACCTCAAATAAACTTTAAATTAGAGCTCGAAATACCCGAGTACCCACTCGCCCACTTTGTTATATGTGTATACGGATCTGGACCGATTCCGCGGGTATCTACTAATTTGGGTACCCGCAGAATCATGTACAATGCGAGTACCCGTGGAATCGTGTACGATACGGATATTCGAGGAATCGTGGGCGATACGGGTACCTGTTTCGATGCGAGTATCCGCTATATACTACAAATATCTGTAATTTTGTCAATTTTAACGTATGTGTTTTACAATAGTTTGTAGTGATTCTCATTTCGTTTATAATTAAAATATTCTAGAGCTTAATTGTTTCGTTTTCGCATTATAGATATTAAATACTTTTCCAAATTTAATTTGCTTTGCAGGAACCGTACAATCAATATATCCTTAATTCAAACCGTTTAACTACAAACAAAATGAAAATTAGTATAAACAATTCTAAAACGCCTTTAAAATTAACAGAATTACACGCAGATATCTGTAGCATATAGCGAATATCCGCATCGAAACGGGTATCCGTATCGCCCACGATTCCGCGAGTACCACGTATTGCAGACAGTTCTACGGGTACTTGCATTTTACACAGTTCTACGGATATCCATGTAACTGGTCCAGAGCCGTATGCACGGATAACGGATCTATGGGCGGGGGTACTCAAATTTTATGTTATCCGGTTTTGTTTCTGAGCTCTACTTTAAATATAGCATATTTATGTATTATAAGTACATCAGAAAAGAATTTATTAATAATTACCACAATAGTTTCTCCAACTTTCCGTACAGAAGGCGGTATCATTTCAGGGGTTAAACTTGTCGGAGGATCTATACCGTTGAGTTTCTGCTTGATAAGCCACATGGCTATGGCAAATTGTTCCTTATTTAATTTTCCACTTTGACAAATATCGCATAAACTCCTAATTCATAAAATATTTTCGTTAATACCATGATAGTTAATTTTTGATAAATTGTTTACAATAAAGTACTATGTTACCATATATGGGCTAACACAGAATGTGGAAGTCCACTTTGTAGGAAGACATCCTTGATTTCTAAACCAGAGACAAATCCATCTCTGTCCATGTCAGCTTGTAAAAATAATTTTTCCGCAGCTATTTGATCTTCGGCCGAAACTACCCAATGTTGCGCGCTTGTCTGAGAATATACAGTACAAGAACATTGGATGCGGAAATACAATAAGTTCTTAAATCACAGAGTTTAAAAGATAAATACTTTTACAGCATCTAATCCAGTCAAGCTCTTAATAGTCGTCGTATTTGATAAGGGTGGTGCTTGTGTTTGCGATGACGGTGATGCAGTAACTGCCATGCCTATCAGTGTAGGAGACTTAGTCTTAGAAATAATAATGTCTTTCCTTTTATTAGGTGGCATTAATTCTGGTGGAAGTACACTTGGTATTGCATATTTTTCCAATGCTTTATATACAAGATGCATAGCCTGCATAATAACACAGTTAGGCAGAAAAGAAAAGAAAATATAATTTATAATACAAATATTGTTAAAATACATAGAAAATAATTAACGTTTAATATCATTCAAGATAATCTCTCAATACTTAACATTACATTGTTATCAAAAATTGTTTCTTCAATCAATATAGTATCCATACATCATGCAAAACGGATGAGTGAAGAGGGCTACATTCAGTCAAAATAAATCTTAATGTCTAATACTTTTTTGTAAAAAGTCTTTCACAATTTTCAGTTTAAAAATACTACCCTCCGATTATATATATATACTTGCCAATTTTAAAACACAATTCTAGACTAAAGCTAGAGTACGTAATAAAATTAAATAATATCACTATATGCCTCGGTAATTGAATTTAAGGAGGACCTTGCTACTTCCTAGTCAATAGATAGTTTATTCATAATATGTAAAACAATTAAAATAATGGAATAAAAAAATTACGAACAATATCTTATGTCATTAAACATAATTGTTGTTAATGTTACTAAATATTTTCAAAAAGACAAAATAAAAGTTGTAAGATACTCATTTGATGAATATGCATTTGACACATATTCTAGTTTTTTTCATTGAAGAATATAAATTTTGTGTAAACTGTATGGTCAGTATAAATTTTCATTTAATTTCATTAAATTTTCATTTAATTTCATTAAATTTTCATTTAATATTCATTATTATAACATATATAAAAAAAAAACAATTGATACTTACAACTACAAATTCATGTCTATCCAGCATACCATCCTTGTCCATATCTGCCAAGTCCCAAATCTTACCAAGCGTATCCATGGGAAGTTTGCTGTCCATAAGAACACCTTTTACTTTATTTCCAGATATATAGCCATTAGATGGCTGTAAGCTATCAAAAAGCTGATCGTATTTTGCTCGTTCTGTAGGATTAATTGACCAATCTCCATTATTGACAGATGTTATTACAGGCAAAGCATTAGTCATAGCCTTCTGTTGAATGACTGGAATGTCTCCCTGATATCAAAGAAGACAGACAATGTAATGCTTGTTCCAGTTGCAAAAATGTGTCTATATGTGTCTATATATAAATTTACCATCTTTGGTGGTGGCAATTCTAGGATTAGATTAGACATATTCAAATCCTTTCCTGTTTGTGCCAATGCACATAATTTGAGTGCAACAAACAAGCCAGATTTGTCTAAAGAACCCCTTGATTGTGGATCAGCCATATCCCATATTTTACTCAAAATAACATCACTCAACTGGGATTTCTTAAGAAATCTTGCAGCATCCATTGCCTCAATCCGTCCATATCCATTTGGATCAATCTAGGAACAAACGTGCGTGTGTGTGTGTGTGTGTGTGTGTGTGTGTGTATATTGGAAATAAAGCAAACAAGGTACGATGCAAAAGCAGATTTTTTTTATTAAAACATTACTTTATATACAAATGATGATTGCAATGTCTTTCTTGAGAGCTCTTCAGTTACCAGTATGTCTACAAATATGCTCTTCCAACGAATAATATACCTGATTATAATAAGCTTCATATATTGCAGTATGGCATCCAGCCACCTGTAAAAACAGCAAACTCGAATGCATTTTTTATTTTTATCTGCACAAATTTTAACGATCAGTATAAATAATACATATATTCAATTGTTTGTCATAAATTGTCAATATAATGTTTAACAAGTATTCGTCAACATGAATAATATAAATAACATATATAATAAGCTGACATAAGTTGACAAATAAAAACGCTTATTATCAAAGCTTATTGATACTAAATAAACAAACCGTTAAATTAAAAGAAAGTCAGACTCGCGCGTTTCTAGAACAGCGCGATAAAAACAACAAAGGCTTCCTCCCCGACAAGTAAAAATTTATCAATCAAAATAGGTACAGATAAAATGATACTCCGCCATCGAAAAGAGGACGTTTCGACCTAGACCGCCCGAGATAGATAAGGTATCGCAACGAAGACGCATAAGTACTGCGACAGTTTAATACAAATCATGGCGAAACTTTACGAAAGAAGCTCTCACAACAGGCGTGAGTCACATTAAACGTTATATTCTCGTAAAATCGTGAAAATCGTTCCGTACCTGCGTAGGTGACGGCAAAGCAGCCATACTTGCGTTAAGCACTGGTTTAACCAATCAGACACTCAATCGATACTGTACGATTTTTAACAATTCCGTTTAATATTTCGCGGGGATATCGCTCTTAATTATTGAATATTCCAGCGAATTATAGTGGTTTCATCCTCTATTATCTTATAAATTCAAAATAGAAGAATGCACGACAGAAAAAATTTATTTAAGAATTTAAGAAGCACCAATTTATGAGACACCTATCAAAATCTCTTCTATCGTTTATTCAAAATCGATTGCACTAAACATTCATATTAAGTCTGTTCGCATTGCTTGCACTTTTTCAATTCGGTAATCAGCATCTTCGCTTTTTCCACAGATTTCTATATATTGTCAGAAAGAAATCTGAGGAACCTGAGAAAGAACATAATAGCCTTTTGCCTGTTACTGTTACCGCAAAATGCCCTAGCCCTAGAGTAAAGAATAAGGGCGCGTTCACACCTCGACGGAAAAGCAGAAACCGGAAAGCAGAGTATCAATTCATGAAACTTTATCCCTAGGATGAAAAGTGAAAAGTGAAAATTTTCTCCATTAAATTCAATGGTAAAAATGTTAACTTTTTACTTTCCATTCTAGGGATAAAGTTTCATGATTGATACCCTGCAGCCAATCAGGGTCCCGATTCTGTAACTGTTTTAAGGCATAAACACAATAGGCACAGGCAACAGGGAATAACGAGCCGTCCAATCAAAGCTCTGTTGTGTAAGTTCGACATTACATCCCAGAGCTCTGATTGACGCAACCCTAATAGCGTTTTCGGCCCGACCGGGTTTGCACCAACCTGGGTTGGATTAATGGCGTTTTGCGCTTTCCTATTGGTAGAGCGTGTGACATCAACCAATAGGAAAGATTAATCCAACCCAGGTTGGTGCAAACCCGATCGGGCCGAAAACGCTATAAGTCCGGATCTACAATAGGTGTTTTATGCCGTAAGAAACTGACCAATTACAGTCGAATCCGAGAAGAATAAGCGACTGTGATTCGCCCATTTCTTATGGCTTAAGGCTTAAAACCCTATTGTAGATCCGGGGTAATGGAAAGCATCCATAGTTCAGTGCATGTAACCGAATATTAGTTCATTTATGTATATTCGCCTAGGTGGCGTTCAAAACACTGTTCCAAGTAAAATAAGGGAGTTGATTATCTATTTTCTTAGATAATTTGTGGTGACAGACTACAGAGGCCCTAAGCCAATTTCTGATTTAAAAGATAGTCCAGTGTAAACAAGTAATTGTATAAAAAAGGTGATTTTTTAATATTAACACGCACAAATATGCCTCGACTACCTTTACACTATTCATCTGGGACAGGTATTATTACGCCATTCAGTAAAGCAATACGATTTGCTCGCTATGGTTGCACTAATAGACCGTTTTATCATATCGTTGTGATCGATGTAAGTTGCGACAATTTTCTTTTAAAACTGATTCTGCAATGAGTCGATAGTTGGAATTCTTAATAGGCCTTCTACAATAAACCGCAAGTCAGAAGTTCTAAGCGATCCTAAGTCATAATCGGTGAAGTTGGCCAATAGCCAATTTGAACGACTTGGTTAAGACTGGTTAAGACTTTTGACGTTCCGAGGCCTATAATATCCCTTCTGCAATAAGCCGCAAGTCAGAAGTTTTAAGCGATCTTAAGTCATAATCAGTGAAGTTGGCCAATAGTCAACTTGAACGATTTGGTTAAGACTGGTTAAGACTTCTGACGTTCTGACTTGCGGCTTATTGTAAAAGACCCATAATAGGCCTTCTACAACAAGCCATAAGTCAGAACGTCAGAAGTCTTAACCAGTTTTAACCAAATCGTTCAAGTTGACTATTGGCCAACTTCACCGATTATGACTTAAGATCGCTTAGAACTTCTGACTTGCGGCTTATTGTAGAAGGGCTGTAAATCTTAATCCGTCTTAACCTAAATAGGCGACTATGATTTTTTGCATGCTGTTAATTATGCGAGGAGTCATTTATCTCGATTAATGGGAAGGAATAAAGTCGAATTTGGTCAGTTTTAAGAGAATTGGTAGTCTTAGTTGTACAAGTTTTATGAGTGAATTGTTCAAATTGGCCAACAGCTAACTTGAATGACTAAGGCATGATTGCACCAACATTACTTTGACTTTAAGGAAGGCATAAAACTCCCTTTGTTTCTGTTTCTCTTGTGATCTAAAACAAGACAGAGTTTTCTCTATTGAAAAAAATTACATCACACAGTTGCATGATGAAATTCATGTAATTAAAACATGTAAATCATGTAACGGATTGTTCCAAATCAGTACATGATTTTTAAAAATCACTAATTTGAAAAGTCACATGATGACATGTTCTTTTTTCTTCTATTTCTATTATTCAATTCTTTAAAATTTGAAAACTATAAAATCACATGATGGATAAAATTATTTCTAATATGTGATTTTTCAAATTACGTTTAATATAATTTTTTTCAATAGGGTTAAGACTTGCTTAAAGTCAAAGTAACATTGGTGCAATTAGGTTTAAGCACAAAGATGTCCGTAACTGAAGCACGAAACGTAAGTTATAGTGCAGATTGATCATAACATTATGTGGTAACCTGTGACTACAACTAAAGTTTCATGACTTGTTACAACCATCTTTGCGCTGAGGTTCTACGACTACCGATTTTCTCAAAACTGGCCAAATTCAACTTTATTCCTTTCCATTGTCAAGCTAAATAACTCATTACAGCTGTGAAAAGTCATTTTACATTTTTTTAAGACTTAGGACTTCTGATTACCAACTACTGACTCATTGTAGAATCGGCTGAAGTATAAAAATCTTAACTATAGAGAGAGAAAAATTCTCCTATAGCTAGAATCAATAAATTTTTGTTGTAGTTAAAAAAGGGGGAAAGAAAACCACCAATAGAACAAGTTGGTGTATATGATCCTATTCCAAATATGCATAATGAAAAAGTAGTGTCCTTCAATTTTGAAAGAATACAATATTGGATTGCCAAAGGAGCACAAATATCCACACCTGTTGCAGATTTATTAGGACTCGCTGGATTTTTACCTGTTCATCCAAGAACATATATGAAGGCATGGAGAAATCGCAAAACTGTAGAAAAGTGTTCTTAAAGAAAGTATGTGTTAAGAATAAACAGTTATATTTTACAAAGTTAAGACAATTGTTATGTTATGAACATTTATTTTGTACAAATTTTGTAGTTTAACAATAAAAATATCAATAAATTACACCTGGACAATAATCTAGGTTCACATCTACGAACTAAGTGTGTTTAAATTATCTAATATACCAGGCGCTCACGCTCGATTGGACACCACCAATCACAGCGACCGGTGCTTAGGAGCTTTGTAGTCTCAAGCGCTGTGAGTGGATTTGTGTCCAACTGAGTGCCATCCTTTTCACCAATCAGCACTCTGTGTTAAAGCGCTGTTGTCTGTACGAGGATCCGGGCAATTTGTGTCCAACTGAATGCCATCCTTTTCACCAATCAGCACTCTGTGTTAAAGCGCTGTTGTCTGTACGAGGATCCGGGCTAACGCTTAATGGGTGCTTTTCAATTGCAATATCCCTAGACTCTTTCATGCACACGGCGACACAAGTTGCGTTCCAATTGTTCATTATCGTCGACCAGGGTATCAATGGTTGCGTTCAGCAGACTCAACTGTCGTGGAGCGGATCCGTGAGCGCTCGCTGCTATTGGTGTATTCTTCTAGATCATCCAATAGCAGCAAGCGAATCGTCGACCAGGGTATCAATGGTTGCGTTCAGCAGACTCAACTGTCGTGGAGCGGATCCGTGAGCGCTCGCTGCTATTGGTGTATTCTTTTAGATCATCCAATAGCAGCAAGCGCTCACGGATCCGCTCCACAACAGTTGAATCTGCTGAACGCGGCCATTCATGAAATTTTTTTCCTAGGATAAAAAGTGAAAAGTGAAAAATTTCTCCATTAACTTCAATGGTCAAAATTTTCACTTTTCACTTTCCATCCTAGGGATAAAGTTTCATGATTGATACCCTGGGCCTATATTCTGTAACTACTTTACACGCCTATCGACAGTTGGCGGTGTCGTTGCGCAGCTTTTTCACCATATAAAATATCTGCGCAACGACATCGACAATTGTCGATAAACGTGTAAAACAGTTACTGAATATAAGCCCTGGGGCTCTAGTCTTGAAAAGAAACGTATACGAAATGCTTTTTGTGTGCAGGAGCATCCGACGCGAACAAACCTATAATTGCAGAGACGAGTATTTCTGATCCACAATTTGTGGATACAGCACGATTTTACGAACCAAATATCGATTTATCATCTGCAGTCTTGATAAGTGGATCTGTGTACTCTCAGAAAAGTGGATTTTGCTATGTAGTTTGGATCCTTTTTGTCAGGGGGCAGTAGTGGGCGGCAACATTTTGCGTGATTACAGGTTTTGAGCCGTCATGTCCTCTCTCAGATTTCTCTCTGGTATTATAGTCACTGTTTTATTGTGGTGGGTAGGCTGCATTCCAAAACTCATTGAAAAAACAGTGTTGCGATTAATTTTGCAAATGGTGGAAGTATTGTTCTAAGATAAATTGATGCGCAATGGCAACATCAAAGACCACCAATACATATAATAGACAAAATTGGGAAGATGCGGTGAGCATAAAAAGAATTTTTTACTTTCAATTTAAACCTTTATTTTGTAACAATGGTGTCATTTTTATTTTATATTGCCTTTGTTGGCATGATTTTCTTGTATAGGAATTTCCAATATTGTGTCAGACGTGTTTAGGAGACAATCCATACATTCGTATGGTAAGTAAAAGTCTGGATAGTAAAAAAATTTATTCAATTGTTATCTTTTATTACAAAGTAAAACATAGTAAATTGTCCGAATTACAAACTGATGAGATGTATATACAGAGTGTCCTGTAAGTTTTGGCCAATCGCTTTTGTGTGGATAGAGTGGACTAAACTAAGTCGAAAAATCCTTTATCATTTTACAATTTTTGCAATAATTAACAAGGTATTAATTACTAAAAATTGCCAAATATTGATTTTGAATAATTTTTTACTCAAATACTATCAACTTTATAGAAAAACTGCAAGAGACAAAAATCTTCTCATAAAGTTCTGACAATTTTTTCAGAATTTCTTGATATCGTATTTTCTCATGTTGGTAAAAATAAGAAAATACAGTATTAAAAAGTTGATAAAAAATTCTGAAAAAAATTCTTAGAGTTCTATGAGAAGAAAATTAATGATTCTTGTCTCTTGCAGTTTTTCTATAAAGTTGATAGTATTTGAGTAAAAAATTATTCAAGACCAATATTTGGCAACTTTTAGAAATTAATTTCTTGTTAACTATTG